TGCCATTTTGTTATTTGTGTTCCTGGTCTTCCTTAGTTAGGTTGTTTTTCTCTTTCTTCTGTTTAAAGAAGCCCTTTTAACATTTCCTGCAATGCTGGAATGGTGGTAATGAATTCCTTTAGCTTATTCTTTTCTGGGAAGCTCTTTCTCTCTCCTTCAATTTTAAATGATAACCTTGCTGGATAAAGCAATCTAGGTTGTGGGCCTTTGTTTTTCATCACTTTAAAAACCTGGCAGGGGCTTTTTATAGTCCCTGAGTGCCCCCTACTGGCAGTAGGTCAACCAGCAGGGTTGGGGGCCCAGCTGGGATGGGACGGAGGAGCACAGGGCCTAAGGGGGCGGACACAGGGCTGAGCCCCTTCTCACCCCCTCCAGTTCTCCGTGGACATAGACTCTGAGCTGGCGGAGGAGCTGCCAACCGAGATCGAGCTGTGGATGGTGCTTGTGGCCGTGGGCACTGGGCTGCTGCTGCTGGGACTCATCATCCTCCTGCTGTGGAAGGTTAAGACCACAGCCCTACACCCAGACTCCTACTCTAGGACCTCCTGCCAGCAGACCCTCAGTGACTCTCCCTTCATCCCATTCCTCACTTCCATTTGTCCCCCACCCTTCCCCTATGTCCTCCTTCCTTCTCCCCAGCTTCCAGTCTTACCCCCTGCCCATGCTCACCTCACCCACTGGGATGAGGCGAGGGGGAACTTGCAAGCCGGAAAGGGGAACCCAGGAACTCTGGCTTCTGGCCATAACACCCAGCTGGGGCTGGGACCTAGGCCTCCAGGCTCCCCAGCCCTAAGCCCCAGTCCACGAGTGCTGCTGGCAAGGACCCCACCCCACCCCCCAGCTCTCCTGATGGCCCCTCCCCACCTCCTCCCCTCCACAGTGCGGCTTCTTCAAGCGAGCCCGCACTCGTGCCCTGTATGAAGCTAAGAGACAAAAGGCGGAGATGAAGAGCCAGCCATCAGAGACAGAGAGGCTGACCGAGGACTACTGAGGGGGCAGCCCCTACCCCCGGCCCACCTGGGTAACAAGGCCTCCGGGCTCTCTTCCCCGAGCCCCTCAGCTGGCCCGGGCCTTTGACTCTGTCCTATCTGCTCCTCTTCCTTTATGGGTTCACTCTGTCCCCAGCACCATCCCAAAGAGCAGGCCACTCTGCCTCCCCTCCATGCCCTGGGAGAGCTCAGGGTATCTGCTCTCACTAGCCTCCCCACTGAGCCCTTCGAGGACTTGTGGCCCCAAGAGGAAGCCCTAAAACCCTCCCTATGGTCCCTTTGCTTTATGGGGATTGGAAAAGGGTCAAGACCAAGGCTAGGCCCCATCTCTGTAATTCACAAGGCAAATTCCCAGAGTGCTTCTATACTCCCATTTCCACCTTCAGGGAAGGAGGGGACTAGTAGAGCCCTTCCTCCTGGGAACCAGCACTTTTCCTCCTGGGAGCCCCCTCCAGGGTAACAAACTGACCCTTCCCACATTGTGGTCAGGGTAGACCACCACCCTTCCTCGCCATTCCATCAGCAATCTCGGTGGCTGTCCCGCTGCTTCCATCTGCCTCTCCCTCTCCTCTCTGCCTTCCTCAATGCCTCCTTCCTCTGGGGTCTGGGGGTGGGAACCTCTTCCTCTCTGTCTCAGCGCAGAGAGATGGCATGTGTTTGGATCAGGGGTCCTAGCTTTGAGGACCTCTAGGTGGGGGGGGGGCTGGGCACATCTTCCCACTGGCTCGAGAGCTGGACGCTGATGCCCTTCCTCTTTTTCTCTCAACTCCAGTGTGACTTCTTTAAGCGGACCCGCTATTACCGGATAATGCCCAAGTATCATGCGGTGCGGATCCGGGAGGAGGAGCGCTACCCACCTCCAGGAAGGACCGTGCCCACCAAGAAGCACTGGGTGACCAGCTGGCATACTTGGGACCGATACTACTGATGTCCTCTCTGATCCCACCCTTGCGCCCCCAGTGTCCCGTTTTTCTATTTATCATAAGTTATGCCCCAACAGTCCACAGGGGCCACTGCCTTTGGCTGGCACCAGCAGGCTCAGGCACACATATCTCTGAGCACACGCACGTGCTGTCTGGCCACGAGCTTCTCCCCACAGGAGGGCTGGGGCCATGGACCTTGCTATGCCGAGCACACCGCCTTGTGTCCTGGACACATGTGGGTCCCGCTGCTTGTGGACTGTGCCTGTGCACCACAGATAATGTATGGACATGTGTGTCCCAGTCTCTTCCTGTGCTAAAACCAAGCCAAAGGCCCTCTGCTAGAGCCAGGGGGAAAAGGTCCCCAATGTGGTGACACCTCCCCCGTTCACACTGGACCCATCTCGAGCCATAGTCGCTGGATGGACTCTGCTCTCAAGATTAAAACTACTGACAGCAAACAGCCCATTAGGCCCTCAGCTGTAGTCCCATGCCAGAGAACATGGGGTCTGCCTGAGGTTGTTTAAAGGGGGAGTTTGCAGGACCTGGCATACTTGGACACAAGAGCAAAATGAACTAGAAAGCAGGTCCCCAGGATGGCTTTCTTTAACGGATCGCTGTGAAACCTCTCTCCTCACCCACAGCATGCACTAGCAAGGGAATGTAGCCTGAAGGAACAAAGGTGAATAAGCCACTAGACAGCCTGGACATGCTGTGCTGGGCCCTCCCTGGGAGCATGATGGAATCCTTAACAGAGGAGGGGACTGATCCCGGACCAAGGAGATGTTGGAAGGATACCGAGGAAATACCATTTCTCACCCACCACTCCCATTCCAACCTCCGAAGGGCCTGGAGAGAACCCCACAAGATCACAGAGGGAGCGACGTTTGAATGTAGGACAGGGAGGGAGCCCCATCCCTGCCCCATGGGCCAGGCCCCACTCTGTCCCCACCAACCATGGGTTGGGGGCCTAGAAGTGGAGTTCTTGACTGTCCTTGGCCTTCATCACCAGTTGGCTCTGCCTTCTCCCCCACGGACCCATTCTGGAAGTTGAAGCTGATTCCAGAACCCCACTCCTGCCCCCTGCCTGTTAGCAGGCTCCCTTCCCCCCTTCCATGGTACTGTAGCAGGGGAGCTCCTCCCCCTCCTTGTGCCTTCTTTGTATATAGGCTTCTCACATCAAACAATAAACAGCTCCCAGTTTGTACGCACTGCATCTGCCTCCAACCCCCCTACCCCTTACCAACCCCATTCAGTCGGATGGGTAATGACAGCTAGCTGACCCCCAGGTAGACAGAGCCTGGTGCATGGGTCTTAGAGTTTGGGAGGGCGAAAATCTATGGGGGAGATACCTGCCCCTGCTCTCAGGGACACCCCAGTCTAAGGGCTGGTCATAGGGAAGTGAAATGCAGAACAAGATGAGGGGAAAGACCTGAGGAAACTGGATGGAATCCAAAGTGGCTTCTTGGTGGCCAGCGAGCTGGCCCTGGGCAGGGAGAAGGAGAGAGGTGGTGATATGCAGGGACTGGAGAGGCAGCGAGTTACTTTGCTGTAGAAACAGGTAGTCCTGGATAATGGTGGAGGGAGGCTGGGTGCAACGGTGAAAAGCCAAGAGCCCTTATCTGGTGGCTAGATTCAGATAAGAACCTGCTTTTCTGCCTCAATTTCCCCATCACCACCTATAGGCACCACGATGAGTAGATATTCAGAGGGTGAACCAGTGACCCAAAGCTGGAAGGACTGAACGGTCATAGTATCCATTCCCCAGCCTCCAGCCAGGGGTGCCTGGAGCCGTAGTCATGGTAGCTCCGCCAAAGGTGCTTCAGTACTGAGCTGCCATATTCCACAGCATTGGATTAAGCCCTCCACTTCCTCCTCTATGCTAAGGTGGTCCCCTCCACACAGGCCTAGGGAATGGAGCAAGGCTGCTTTCCCCATGACTTCTTAGTCCTAAATTGTGGCACAGGTCCCTCTCTGTTCATTGTCCCCAAGGCTGTGACCTTTGACAAGACTTCACTGAAGGCTAGATTTTACTACCCAGAGAAGCCTAGAGGCAGGTCCTTGATTCAGCTCCTCTGGGAGCCCACAGACCCAGGCCATTCTGGGAGCTGCTCCTGATGTCTCCCTGTGTATCTCCCAGGCTGCCTGCCCTCCATCCCCTGCACCAGAGCCCACCTCACACAGAGGCTAGGGCCCAGCCCCACCCTCTTTCTGTGCTGGAATTTGACCCTTCCCAGGTTGATTGACAGTGGAATATCCAATTCCTCTAGGAAACTCCCAGCCCCTGCCCAGAGCACTCAAAAACAGTCATCAGAGGCCTGTTTGTTTTCCAGAATCTGGGTTATTCACTTGGTTGGCAATAAAACACCACATCAAAGTCCAGCTCAGGCTGAGTTCAGCTTGGTCCAGTCCTTTGCAACCACCTCCTGCTTAAGAAAAAGGTGGGATCTACACATCCTTCTGGCCTGCTTCAGTCTCCTGTGAGCCTGTGAGCAGCTGCTTGGATGAGAACACACAGTCTCTCTCTCTCTCTCTCTCTCTCTCTCTCTCTCTCTCTCTCACACACACACACACACACACACACACACACACACACACACACACACACACGAGAATCAGTCATTTTCACGACTGGTGCAGCTACATTTTTATGAAAGAAACATAATGGCAGAAATGCAACAATGTCCACTTTCTGCAAAAAGACCCTTTGTAATACCAAGCTTGAGCTCCTTGGAGCTGCAGAACCTCCCAGCTCTCCCAGAAGAGGGTCTTGGCTCTTGTATTACTAAAAGGACCCAAAAGGAGGTTCTCCCCCTTCTGGGCACATGGCAGGATTACACTTCCAGGGCCCTCCTGGTTGCATGAGGCGATGTGACTAATTCTAGCCAATGAGTTGTGAGCATGAGGGAAGTGCATCAATTCCCTGAGACAGTGAATTGCTGGATGAGACTCTCCCAGTTCTGCATTCCCTGCCTCTGCTGCTATGGAGGCCTGTATTGAGATAAAACTTCTGTCAGTCTGAGTCCCTGAGAGGCCCCCAGCAACCCGTGCTGTATATGTAGTAAGAAATTTGGGGATTTGAGGGGTTCTGTTACCTCAGTATTACCTAACCTAGCTGACCAATCCACCACTCCACGCCACTCCCATTACCACCAATCTCTGCAGAAGGAATTGTAATCCAAGCACAGAGCCCACATGGTGGAAGTCCAGCTCTAAGGGGAGGATCATGGGAAATCTCGTTCCCACTCCTACACCTAGCCTCAGAGGTTATAGCCTTTTCCTTGTGACTTTAATTTTGACAATAATAGTAATAGCTGCCATTTATTGTTTATTTACTATGTGCACAGGGCCAGGCCTTTTACGTCTATCAGTAGTATCCCAGATACTCTTCCAGGCAACTTGAAGATTTCATTCACCAACATCATCAGTGACCTAATTGCTAGCTGGATGGATGTTTGGTGATCCCCTCTGATACCTCTGTGTCTCCCTGGTGACCCCAACTTATTTTTTTCACCCTGTTTGCCCTTCTATGTGTCAGATGCTGTGCCTGGGGCTGGAGACAGAGCAGTCAATAAGACAGACACAGCCCCACCCACGTGGAGCATAAAGTCTTGTGCGTCAGACAAATGAGTTGGCAGATGATTACCACTCAGTGTGACAAGAGCTAAAATGGTGCTAAGATCAGGAGGTCTAAGGAGCCCCTGAAGGGAGCTCATAGCCCAGACCAGTAGGATCAGTGACCTGAAGAATGGGAAGGTGAAGATGAGCAGAAAGAACAATCCAGGCAGAAGAGATGGCATTTGCAGTGGCTTGGAGAGTGGGGGCTGGCTCGAGGCAGTAGAAATGTGGCTGGGAGTTGAGCAGGGGACTATGGAAAGACGAGGCTGGAGAGTTAAGCCAAAGCAGACCATGTGAGAACTCAAAACGCTCCAGTAAGAAGTGGGGAGCTATTGAAAGACTGTGAGCAAGGGACGTAACAAGTTCAGATTTGCAGTTGAGAAGGATTCCTGAGCTTCAGTTTCCTCCTCTATAAAACAGGGATAATAATAGCACAATAGAGCTGTCTAGAGAATTAAATGCGAAAAACGCATGCAAACTGCCTGGCCCATAGGTTATTATTCATTCAGCTAAGAGTCCCTTCCACTGTGAAGTCTTACACACAGCTCCAACTTGGCTATAATCATATTCTGTTACAACTATTTAATTGTTTACGTATGAAGCGATCTCCCAAACAGAAATAAAATGATTGAGGGAAAAGACCATGTCTTAATCCTGTCTGTTTCCTGTTCCCAGCACAAAGCCTAGCACATATGAGGCACTTGGCAAGTACAGGTCAAGGACTGAACAGTGAAAGAGCAAAAACATCAAAGGCGCCAGTGGGGGCGGGCGGGGATGGAGGACAGGACTTACCACGTCCGACGCAAGAGGGCGCGCTACGTTTCTACCAGAGAGCCGGGGCTGCTGGGGAAGGGAGGGCTTCCCGGGAGGGCTTCCCGGCCCCCAGCACAAATCACCTTTTCTGGGACCTTTTCTCCAGGGAAGCCCAGCGTGGAGAAGGTTGCTTTCTCAGGTGAAGCGAGCTAGGGAATAATAAAAGTGTTTTGAAAACTGCACTCGTAGCACTGATGGCAGGGGCTGCCTCCATCACTGCTAGTCGTTATGGTTTTGACGTTGGGTGTTTTTCAACTGGAAAAGCGTTTTCCTGAATTACTTGGATCCCTGTGAAAGTGGGTGGGCTGCACGTCTATATGAGGGATTATATGGGCTTACATCTTGATCCCGAAGTTTGCAAACATTCAGTCACTGTCATCCGGACTGGGAACCCCCTGTGGGAGAGCAGGTAGGGATCAGAACAGGTGACACAGGCTCCTCTGCGAGGACAGGAATTCGTAGAGAGCTACCTGGGCAATTTCAGGGAAGGCAAGTGACAAAGAGTTTCGGGAAGCGAGCGGGGAAAGGAAGAAGTGGGAAAGGAGGAGGGATAACGGCCCTTTGGGACGGACGGATTAACCCGGGTTGGGCCCAGAGGGGAACCGGGCTGAGTGATGCGGGAGGGGCGGGAGGCAGGCTCCCCGCGCCGCTTGGCGAAAACAACAGGCCGCCCCAAGTGAACGCGGGTTAAAGGGGAGGGGGTCGCGGGGGAAGCCACGTGCCGGCGCTGGAGGCTATTGGCTGTTCCGGAGTTGTTTGTGAGCAGCCATTGGCCGCGTCGGGGCGCCGCCTCCAGCCGATTGGCCGGGGCTTGGAGGACGGCCAGGGCTAGGGAGGGCCGGAGACTGCTGAATCTCGGCGCAGGGCCTGGCTGGGCCGAGCCGAGCTCTAGGGCTGCCCGCGCCGGAACCGGAGCCCGAACCCGAGCCACGGTGCCGCCGCCATGCGCTGGGTCCGCGCGCTGCTGAAGAATGCGTCCCTGGCAGGGGCGCCCAAGTACATCGAGCACTTCAGCAAGTTCTCCCCGTCCCCGCTGTCCATGAAGCAGTTTCTAGACTTCGGTACGGAGTGGGCGGGGGCAAGTGGCCATGGGGACCCGCGGGGGCCTGAGTGGGGCTAATGCAGGGGCCCCGGCCAGTTACTGAGAAGAGAAGCCCAGAGGGACAGGGAAGGGTTGCTTGGAGGGGTACTGGCAGGAAAGGGTTAACAGGGAGGTAGCCACCGCTGTGCCTGAAAGGGTTATGGGTACCCCGGCTGAAGACTCCCCTGGACTATTAATGGGACGTGGGGGTGGGGGCGATGGACGACACTGAGAAGGAAGGGTCCAAGATGTCTTCCTGGGCTTTGTGAAGGGTCTTGAAGAGTCATCCCGGCATAAAGGGTCCTGGTGACAAGATCTTAAGAGTGGGAGACAGAGGAAATGGGGGCGGGGGATGCTGGTGAAAGTAACAAGGCAGTGTTGGGAGGTGCATCCATTTGGAAGGAGACCTGAGCTGGGCACTGGGGAAGGGGCTCTTTCAGATACCCACAGGAGAGAGGCCCTGACCAGTATACATACACCCATGGAAGGAGCTGGCCTCAAGCTGTCCCAGTGGGCAAAGACACTTGAAGATCAAATCCCCTCCGGCCTGGCTACCTGTCCCCAATTGCGCAGGGTCCCAGGGCACCATGAAATGGAGTCAGGCAGCTTGTACCCAACCTTGGCTGCCCCTGGGTTCCTAGGCCAGGATCACCCACCACCAGCGTTCTGGGGGTGGCTCTGGAGCAGGGGCAAGG